TACCCGCCTGATCGTGGCCGCCCCCTCACCCCATACCTGCTTGGTCGTGATGGCCGCCCCCCCGCACCCGCCTGATCATGATGGCCACACCCCCACCCCGTACCTGCTTGATCGTGATGGCCGGCCTCCAGTCCTTGTCCTCCTCAAGGATGGACAGGCACACTGTGCCCGAAGGATACACATTTGGGTGAAAGAGCGGTGGTTCAAATTTGCCTGGACCAGAGGGAAGATGGGACGTGTTTCCAGTGGCAGCTGTCATCAGACAGAATGACGCCACCCCCTGTACCGGGGCCACCTTGCTGTCACCAGGCATTTGACTAAGGATGGTGGCCAAGAGGTGGCAGCAAGCGGGGGGGTGGGGTGGGGGGTGCACATGTGCCTTTCCCGGAGGCGAAGCCATGTGCCCGCCCGGACCCTGCCCCTGGACAGTGGGCAGTCGGGGCGGAGTCCTAGTCACCCCCATGCCCGTGCCCCTCCCCAAGTCAGCACAGCAGGTGGGGATGGTCCTGGGGGCACTGCAGAGGGCACAGACTTGGGAGGCAGTTTTCAGAGCAGATCATCCTGCTCCAAAAAGAAAGGCTCTTAGGATCCACGTTCTTTCTCTTAAAAAAGAAAAGTTACTTTTCTTCCTAAAAAATGAACATATGTAGGAAATCCTAACCCACAAAAGCACAGAAAAGTGCCTGGAGCCCCCAGGGACCATCACCACAGCGGGTGTGCTCAGGGTTTCTCTTTGTCTGGACACCCTCTGCCTTTCTCTGGATTTTATTTACTTAAAAAAATTCTTTTAATGTTTATTCATTTTTGAGAGACAGAGAGAGATGGAGTATGAGCAGAGTGAGGGACACACAGAATCTGAGGCAGGTTCCAGGCTCTGAGCCATCAGCACAGAGCCCGACGCGGGGCTTGAGCCCACGAATGGTAGGATTATGGCCTGAGCCAAACTCCTGAGCCGAGGTCCAACGCTTAACCGACTGAGCCAACCAGGTGCCCCTTCTCTGGAGTTTAAAATGTTAATTGTACCCAGAAAAGGACAATGGGTCTCGTGCAACTTGATGAAGTCCAAAACCACCACTGCCACCACCTTCCGAGGACCCCCTCCCGGGCTGGCACGGGTGCCTGGCCTGCGCACCGCACGGACATCTACGTGACGCCACCAGCATGTCCAGCCCCGAGGAGACACCGTGCACCGCCAGCATCTACACTCCTGCACGGTCCGCCAGTTCCCGCCGCTTTACAGGCCCAGACCCCCAGGGGCCTCACGGTGGCCAGCCGTCCCTGGGGACTCCGGATGGCCAGCACCTTCATCACTGTGACGCACTGTACGCTTCTTGGAAAGATCCCAAGTCCTCAGCCGTGTCTCTAGCAGGATGGCTCCTGAGCTGCGGGCGTGCTGTACGCCTTCCACTTCACTTCAAGCCCTGGCAACCTGCTCCCGCCCCAGCGTGCCCTGCTCTTTGAATCCTGCTTCTTTCTGAGCACTAGTCTCTGATTTTACTTTCATCTGAGAGGTCAATCTCTTTTCTTATCTACAAAAGCACAGCCATGGTGAGTGTGGTGTTGCTCAAGCCCCTGACCCCGACTTCTGCTCGCTGCCGGCATCCCCCTCCCGGAGAAGTCCCTGCCGAGACCGGCTCCGCCACAGGGCCCGCTGCGGACTTCCTGTGCGGCTCCGCTCCCCCACATCACCTTGGGAGATGTGCCGTTCTGAGTCCTTGCAGACCCTTCCTCCAGCTGCTGCACACTGACCCCCCACTTACCCGTTCTTTTTTTCATTTTTCTTACAGTTTGAGAGAGCGAAGGGGCGCCTAGGTGGCTCAGTCAGTTAAATGTCTGACTTCAGCTATTGGGGAGTTTAAGACCCATGTCAGGCTCTGTGCTGACGGCTTGGAGCCTGGAGCTGCTTCAGATTCTGTGTGTCCCTCTCTCTCTGCCCCTCCCCTGCTCACACCATGTCTAAAACAAACATAAATGTTTGAGAGAGTGAGCCAGCAGGGGAGGGGCAGAGAGAGGTAACCGAGCAGGCTCCACGCTGTCAGTGCAATCCTGATGCAGGACTTGATCTCACAAACCGCAAGATCATGACCTGAGCAGAAATCAAGAGTCAGACACTCAACCGACTGGGTTCCTGGGAGCCCGAGCCAAAGAATGGGCCAGGGACACTTGGCTGCCTCCAGCGTTTGGCCATTACAGACGGGGCTGCCGTGACCAAGCTGGTCCCCGCCTGCAGCGAGCACGTGCTTCCGCGGGACGCTCGCAAGGAGGGCAGCCGGGTCCCAGGTAGGCCCAAGTTCGGCCTCTGCAGACGTGGCACCCAGCTCTCCAAGGGAAGCCGTGCTGATGTGCACTGCCCCGTGAGGGGTGAGGGTGGAGGGCTCCGCTGCTCTGCCCCTTCCCACCCTGGCTGTCCGCCTGCCCCCTTCGCGGGAGAGGCAGGCACCTCTCCGCACGCTGCTGGCATGGCCCGGGACGGCCTCCCGCGTGGCCCTATGTGCCTGCTGCTTCCTTGTTGACACGTTGACCCCCTTTCCATACTCAGGGTCAGTACTGACGAGCGTGTGACCCTGTCCCTCACTGTCGCTGGCTTCTTCTGGTGAAGACGCGGTCCTGGGTGTGATGTCACCCTAGTTACTGAGGTTCTAACTATGCGGCAAAAGCCCGGTCTGTGCCTCACTGGCGAAATCTATAACGTGACAAAGATGCCCTGTCTTCTTCTAGAAGCCGCACCGGTTCATCTTTCCACTGGGCGTCAAGGTCCATCTGGAAGGCCACCTAGGGTGGAAGGGGTGGTTCCTCTTATTCACAGGGACACCCCGCGGACCCAGGCCATTCGCTGGCTGGCCTGATGCTCCTCACGTCACGGGCGGCCTCTGCCCCGCAGGCCTGTGTCTCAGTCACCGCGTCCCTGTAGTAGGTCCGTCTGGTTCACATCTTGCCCATCCTGCTAACGGGTGCGGGTGCCCTTCGCCCCCCGCACCTCAAGCCAGGGCCTCACAGCCGCTCCCGGGGCCACGGCTGTTCTCCGCACTCCTGACCCTGATGCTGTAGAATCTGTGTGACAATTTCCACAAAACCTTCCACATTGGGTTTTGAGGCCTTCGTAAACGGTCTGGTTCAAACACTTGTTTGTTGCAATGACAGAAAATAGGTTTCTGCAGGTTAATGCTTTACTCTGCACCCTTAATAAACAGACCGGAAAAGGCGAGAACGTGTGCGGCCCGTCTTCCCTCCCAGCTCCTCCGTGGGATTTCCGTTCCGGCCTCGTTCCGCGAGCCAGCGGCGGGAGCGGCTGCAGCCCGTCCCGTCTCTTATTTAGAGCTGTTACTCAGCGCGATACCTCCGCGTGGCAGACAGCGCACATGGCAAACCACCCAAGTGAAAAGTCTCGAACCCAGTGGTCACCCTGCTAAATACTCATTGTTAAAATTCTTCTGCTAGAAGTCATCGTAATGGAAAACATACTTCCGTCTTTTGAATTACTACCCCGAGTGCAGACGTTTCCGCATGTGGCCGTGCCCGCCATGTGCTGGGCTGGACACTTCTCACGCTGAGGCACATATTAATTCATTCACTTCTCCAATCGCGGACAGGGCTTGTTGGTTTCCAGCTACGAGAGGCGAGGAATTGGGCGCCCCTCCCCTCCTGGGTTCTGCGCAAGTGCACTCTGATGATGTGACCCTGGCAGTGCGTTCAAGTCAGCCTCGGGCTTTCCTTCCCACAGCCTTCTCTGGAGGCTCCCGTGCGCTACGCATCCCGGCCGCGCACAGCCAGCAAGTCGGACGTGAGGTGTTACCAAACTGGGGCAGTGACAATGCATTAGGGAAGGAAACCCTCTGAGGGGAGGGCTGATGGTGGGGGCGTCTCACCCCGACAGGCTAAGTGCCCAGGAGCCTCCCGGAGGATCACAGCCAGCACCCAAGACTGCGCCCGCTGTGCGACCCTGCTGTGTGACCCGGGCTCGAGTCCTCAGCCTCGGGGGTCAGAGCCCCCAGGGGCCGCCTCGCGGGACACGTGCTGAAGGAGACGGACTCCGGAGGGCTTCGCTCTACTTACATTTTGGGGGTGAGGACGGATAATCATCTTTGAAAAGCATCCGGAGTTTAAACAAGCCTCCTTCCCATGGAGTCTGCGGGGAGACGACCGAGCGGTTAGCTGTGCTGCCGGCCTTGGCTGTGGGCTGAGCCAGAGCCACCCGCCTCTGCCACCCCGCCCAGCGCCGCCCTGCCACACCGCCGGGCTGTCCCGTGACGGGCCCTGAGAGGGCTGCAAAGGGCAGTCCCCAGAGAGGAGCAGGGCAGGAGCTGGGCTCTGGGAAGACAGGCAGGGCCCAGCGGGGCCCCCTCCCCTGTGACCCCAGGACAGGGGTCAGGATCTTCGCCTGAGCAGCTGCAGCGAGGCCCCAAGAGCACGGCCCTACCCAGCCTCCGCCGGGAGGGACGTGGCCACGGCGCATCGGCCACGGCCTTGGGGCCGAGAACCGGCTCAGCAAAGGCAGAGATGCAGGCCCAGCTTTCAACAGAGGCTTGACCAACGGGGAACACAAACCACACCGTCCGGGACAAGCCGAGTCCTAATCCTGCCGGCTTAGCGTGGGGACAGGAGGCTGTCAGGAAGCGCAAGGCTGAACTCATGCAGACGCCCCGCCACGGGAGGAGGGACACGGCGGCAATGAGGCCGGGGCATGAGCAGGACACCTCCAGGGTCTCCTCTTTGCTTTGCAGTCACCCAGAAAGAGCTGGATGCCGGGTGCTGGAGACCTCACTCCCCGAAGCTTCAAATACGACGGCCCTGACTGGCCCAGCACGCTCAGGCTGCCCGTCACTCTCTCAGGTGGCCCACGAGGTTGTCCCCCACCACCTGCCCGAGGCTCACAGAGCATCGTCGGGGTTCCTCAGCCACAGCGGGTCCCAGAGGATAAACAGGAAGGTCCTCGAGGCTCCTCCGGGCCCCAAGACACAGTAGTATCTGACCCTGGGCTTGGAGGGGGGCCGCACCCAGCCCGTCTGGCAGCCCAGCTCCTTCTTTCTAAATTAAAGCTGCCCTGGGGGTGGGGGGATCGCGTCACTCCAACCCTGTCCCCTCCCCCGGAGATGCAGGTCAGCGGGTGCCGCCCCTTACCCCTTTCTTCCCTGGAATGGCGCACTCCCAGTTCATGAGGTTCATCGTGCCGTCGGGGTTTTTTGTAGGGACAGCCACAAAGCCCTGAGGGAAAACGACCACACGGGCTCATCAGCGCCATGGCGTTGCGGGCCCCACTTGCAGGACAGTCCTGAGCTCCTGCCCCCCCCCACCCCGCGAGTATGCCACAGTGGGCGGGCTGGGTCAGGGGGCCTGCCAGGGGAAACCAATCCCGCCGCCCCGCACGGAAATAAAGCTTTCCTTACAAACGGGTGGTCCTTTCTCCAGGCTTTCCTCTCCTGGGCGAGTCTGCTGAGGGCGATCCCCGACATGGTCAAAGTCCCTGCAAGAGAGCGGGCGGCACACAGTCAGGCGGTGGAACTCAGGGGCTGTCTGCCCTCCGCTCTCACCAGGCCGGACAGGACTGTGCTCTTGGTGAACCGCCCGCCTGGAGTCTGCCCTGGGCATCGTGTCCCCACAGGGCAACCCAGGACCCCCCAGTCCATGGCACAGGCCTAGGGCCACACAGCTGGTAAGTGCGTGACGGGAAGGGTTGGCCGCACGTTCCCAGAGAGGCCTGCACCCCGACCTGCCCTCCTGTCACACCGCGGGGGCCATGGCGACAGGGGCCCAGTCCCCCCATCAGAGTCCAAAGGAAAGGCAAGGACGTGGTGGGGGTGTCCGGAGCACTGCCTGAGGACCGGGGGCCAGGGCCGTAACAGACTGCTCCCCTCTGACAGTGCAGATTGGGGTGGGGTGCGCCATCAGGCCCCCCGCGTAGAATCAGGAGCTCAGAATTCAGGTTCCGGTCTGGCCAAGAGAATAACTCATTCTGCCAACCAACCGAGCAGAAAGGAGCCGCAGGGCAGACAGCAAGCCCACCGCACTGCGGGCCAGTCCCCATACCATACCTGGTCCACAGCGCCCACTAGGCCCGCGTCTCACCAGGGCCCCGGACCCTCTAACCTCCCCCATCCCCTCTGCTTTCTCGCCCCACGGCACCCCCTGCCATGCTCTGGCACCCTGTGCACAATAAATGGGTCGGGGCTGGTCTCCCCTTTACTCTGGGAAAGTCAGCTGGGGGCAGCAGGGCCCAGGAACCCCTGGGGAGCAGCAGACAGGAGACACTGTGCGCTGTGCCCGCCCGTCCCAGGGGCGCTGGGGACAGGGCCGCTCAGAGTCTCGCCCCAGGGTGTCGGGCCCCCAGCGACTCCAGACCATAGACCCCCAAGGCCTGGTGCCTTCAGGGTTCACATCAGTGACCCAGAGGCCCCCATCGGCTTGGCCTCGCACTTCCTGCGGGGAGAGCAGCGTCTCCAGGGCACTGCTCACCCAGCAGAGCCCAACAGGCCAGACCCCCAACTTCCCTCTGCCCTCAAAGGTCAGGAACCTCGCTAGAAATTTTGTGCCTACGTCTGTTTGTCTTCAAAGTCCACAGAACCATTGGGGATGCCATAAATGAGGCTTCAACGAGACAGAGAGGGGGTCCCCTGGACTCTGAAAGCTTGCCCGACCCTCGGACCCTCGGCCTTCCACGGAGAGCAACTCCTCTCTGCTCTTGCGGGCCAAAGGTCCACACCGCACATTCCTGAGTACAACACGGTGCCATCCACCGGGTTCAGAACCACCTCCAGCCACGACAACGCGTGACCCCAAGGACGCCTCCCGGCTCAGGCTCACCCACCGCCCCCGGGCTCAACACTGACCCAGGGACAACCTGAAGTGAAGATCCAGACCAGGTGACGTGCCCACTAAGCGAGGAGCCTTAACTGGAACCCAGCTCGTGTCCCCGACTGCCTTCCAGACGGACGGACTCCTGCCTGCCAGCTACGCCCATGCAACCCCCGGCCCACCTCAGGCTGACCCTCACCCGCCTCGGCAACCCAATCTGAACCACACCGTTCACCCCGCCGGCCCACTGGCTGTGCAGGAGCGGGGAGGCTACCAGCTCAGCAGACAGGCCCGCATGGTGTTGTCACCTGGGTGCTTGTCAGAAACGAACGTCCCCAGGCCCTGTGGCCATGAGTGGGGAAGTCTGGGTGGGGCCCGGCACTACGGGGTTGGGAGGCTTGGGACAATTCTGTTCCCAGTAAGTTAGCACCGTGGAAGGAGGGGCCTGGAGTCAGCACCGCAGCCTCTGGGGTCATCCGGGAGCCCAGGTCTCAGAAAGACGGCTGAGCTGTGACAGACATACCGCCAGACCAATGGGATGGGGTCCGGTTCTAAGAAAAGTACATTTCTGTTACCGTAAGAAATAGCAAAAGACAAAAAAATCAAAGTTCTCCACTCAGGAAGCTGTCAGGACGACGTAAGGGACAGGCCGAGCCCAGACTGCCACTCTGGCCGTGGCACCGACCCCGGACACCTTGTAATGGGCTCCAACCTTCCCCGACTTAGAAATTAAGTCCAAAACAGACAGCACCACGCTGGGGCCCAAACCTGAATTCCTCTCTCCTCCGCTCCATCCCAGGGCTCTGGCCCGTCCCCTCTCCCCCCGCCCCAGTGCAGACCTGCCTGCCAGGAGCACTGCGCTGTGGGTGGGGGACCCCAAAGGGCAACACCTGCCGGGGACCTCCTTCACCGGACAGCACACCTGTCTGGAATATTCGCCTGGGCCAGAGGCAGGGGCCCAGGGAGTGGGACAAGGCAGGGGCGATGATCCCAAGGATGGGGACCTGGCTTGCACTTGCACGAGGTGGGCGGGGGACCTGCAGGAGTCAGGGCTCAGCAGGGCACAGGCCAGTCTGTCTTTAAGGTGCTCTCCGGTCAGAGGCCGGCAGGGACTCTGACGCCTGAAAAATCTACAAGTTTCTCAAACCCTTCACTTCAGTTGATTCTTCTGCATAGAACTTGACCCACACCACTCAGTGGAAATGCCCTTCCTGGCAGAAGCCCTGAGGGCACTCCGGCTTCTATGCACTCCCGCCCCTGTGTCCCCCACCCCCGCCCCCAGAAGGATCACTGTGGCAGCACCCTCGGGCCCAGGGCAGACGGCACAAGTAGGCAGGGCCCTTCTGCAGAATGAACGAACACAGAGCTTCAGTGACCGAACAGGCAGCCTGGTAAGCAGTTAACTGAGATGCAGGGGCCCCGGGAGTGTGAGCTCAGCCGGGCCCCAAAGCAGGTCTCTGACGCCCCAGGCCAGCGCCCCTCAGTGAGGAGCGGAGGACGCCGACGAGCCAGGCACTCTGGTGGGGCTGGGACGGGGCCAGGCACACAGGGCGTTCCGGGGGCCTGTCTGCTTGCTCATCGTGTGTCACAGCCCTCCCGTGGGCCCCTCTCCTGCCCTGAGAGCAGACAGAGTCCCCTCGTCCTAGTGCCTGGCTGCGCACGCTTGTTCCAAGTAGTGGCAGGTAACAAAGGGTGGGCGCAACAGAGTCCCTGCAGCCCCCCCACCCCAGGGACGCTCCGGACCGGACTGTTTCCGCGGTCAGGGCAGAGCCTCAGGTGCACACCTGCACTTCTCACGCAGAGACCTGGAGCTTCCACTCCCACCGGCCTCCTGCTGTCTGACAAAGCCGCCGGTTTGTTACATTTTAACCACAAAGTGGGAACATTCATTCAGAATCCCACTTGGAACCAAACCCACCTGCCAAGCTGACAGACAGGCGTTTCTGGATAGTTAAGATGTTAGGACTGCAGAGCGGAGCCAGGAGCCAGGAAGCATACCCTGGCACTACTAGCCACAGCCTGCAGGATGGGGGCAGGGCTCTCCCCGCCACCTGCCTGTAGGGCTTCTGCACTTAAACGTGCTCTTCTCAGATCCTGACCTCCTACTGGACAGTACTGCGCCGGGTGCCTCCATCCTCAACTTTCTCACCTGTAAAATGGGTGAAGGCACTGTGAGCCCACAGGCTTGCCCAGGAGAAGGCAGGTTATAGATGGGAAGCTGTGGACCACCTTTTCCCACTCGGGGGGGAGGGTGCAGGAAACTGGGTGCACCTGCCACAGGTACCTGCGGAGGCTTCACTTCCTTGCTCTCTCCTAACACAGCTCCCAGGGCCCCAGGCTGTTCCTGAAGCAAGGTCCCTAATGGCGGGACTCACCGGACAACAGCGAGGAAAACTCATCCCTAAACCCCAAACCTCCCCCCCACCCCCGCCACAAAGGCCAGACCAAAGCAGGACACATTTAGGATCCATCTTCTTTTTCTGTCAAGTCGATCCTCTACCCAAAAACAGTGTTTCCTTAACAGTGAGGAACATTTAAGACTACAGACTTCCAAAAGAAACAAAAGACCAACTTTGCAAACCAAGGAACTAAGTACATTTTCAAACTACACCAGCCGAGCCAAGTGATACTGATTTCGGGGCAGCTGGAGGCCACGGTCAGGAACCGCGCTGACCATCCCCTTCGCTTCCTCCCACTCACGTTAACTACCGGCTCTGATCTCCGTTCGACTGCTGTAAAGCAACCTCGTAGAAAACTCTCCCTCGAGCGCAGCGCTAACGTCAGGGATCCCACCGAGTGCGAGCGGAGCTCTCCAGGGGCACAAGGAAACTCGGACTGTTTGGGTTCTTCGACCCCCGCCACACGAGCCGGCGATGTTGCAATCCCCCGTTTTAAACTCTTTCTACCGGGCACGCTCGCCCCGGCTGGCAGGCGCCACAGGTCTGTGTGCAGACCGTGACCCCGGAAACGAATTTCCCTGGGGCGGAGGAGAGCCCCGCCGGCGGGGCGGCCCGGGCTCGCGTCCCTGTCAACAGCGGCCGCTGCCAGCAGCACCTCGGGGACGCCGCCGAGCACGCGCCAGGGGGCCGTTCTCCCAGCTCCCGAACGGGGCGCGCCGCGGGGGGTCGAGGGGCCGGCCCGCCGCGACCCCAGGCCCGGGGCCGAGGCCGCACGCCCGTGGCTCCGAGGCGGACCGGCTCCGGTGAGAGGGCCCTGCCCGGGGCGGGGGCGCGGGGCACGGCCGGGGGCGAAGAGGCGCCCGCCCGGCCCGGGCCCGACGGCGGCGGAGGCCCCGAGCCCCGAGGCCGGCTCCCGCCCGCGCCTCCCGCCGCCCGCCCGCGCCCCTGCGCTCACCTCGGGCGGCCGCGGCCCGGCGAGCTAGGCGGACGAGGAGGAGGAGGAAGCGGCGGCGGCGGCGGCGGCGGCGCTCCCTTTGTCTCGGGACTTCCCTCCCGAGCCCGCTCCGCGCGCAGCCCGAGCGCTCCAAGGACCCCGGCGGGCGGGGCGGGGCGGGGCCTGCAGGGCCTGCCCGCCGCGCGCCTGCCCCCCGCGCGGCCGCCGCCGCCCCGCGACCCGCGCCGCCCGCGCGGCCGCGCGCCGCCCGCCGCCCGTGCCCTGCTGCCGCGCGCCCGAGCCACGGGCCCTGCCCGGGAGCCGGAGCCGGGTGCGGCTTTCCAGTCAGGCGGCGCCGCGGACACCTGCCCCCTTAAAGGAGCCGCGTCCCCGAACGGAGGGAGCGTCTACAAACTCCTCCTCGCGATGCGTGCGTCCACTCGAGGACACGCCGGCGGGCAGCTGGCGCAGGGAGAGGCCGCGATCTCCAAGGGCTCCCCGGATGCCGCGCGGGCAGCTCTCCGGGCACGGGTCCCGGAGGTCTCCTTGGGGCTGGGGCCAGGGGCCGAGGGGGAAAGACCACTGAGGCCTAAGGATCTCCTGAAGCGTCGCAGCACGGTGACGGTCCCCCGAGCACGGCGCCCTGTGAAACCCCTTGCAATTGGTCAGTTTCGGGCCCTGGGCGGGGCGTCTGTCGAAGCCGCCCAATGAATTGACCCGGTACAAGAGGCCGAGTGCCGACCCGATCGACGGGCGAAGTAGTGCGGACGCTCCCTAACCCGGGGACTGGCCGGGGGGTGGGGGGGGGCGGGGCGCCGGGGGTTCCCGGCGGGTGGGGGAGGGGCAGGCGGCCCCGATTGTACGCTGGCCCCTCCGGGTCCCGCCTGGCGCCTCCCCGTCGGGCCCGCCTCGCTGCCCGCACCCCAAGGTCCCAGTTGGGAGCGGGCGCCTTCCAAGGTCAGCCCGCTCTGTCCGTGGGCGCTTTGGGGTCAGGGAGTCATAGGTGTCCCGGGTCCCCACCCTGGCCAGTGGCCGTTGGAGGGCACCTTGGCCAAGCTGCCCGGCATGGGGTGGGGGTCGCTGGACAGCGGAGGCGATTCATTCAGTCCTGTTTTCCCTCCCTTCCCCCCTCCTTCCCCCAGAGCCCCCTAGTTGGCCCTGTGCTGAGGCTGCCAGCTTCCCCCAGGAGCTGGGACCACAGGTCCGGCGTCCAGCGGATGCTCAGTGCGTCCATTCCATGTAGTCAGCGACGTCCTGTTACTTGGGGAGTAAAATGAGGTCGTCTCACCAGCCCTGAGATGGCCGGGGGTGTCCCCTGGGTGTGGTGGTTGAGCATCACTGGGTTGGGGACAGGTTCTGCCTAGGTTACCTCCCCATCAGTAATGGCCTGTAGAGCTTGGCTATAGTGACCGGGGTCCCAGGTGATAAAGGCTAGAGGGCCTGGCCTCCTTGAGCAGAATGTGAGAGTTCCAGGTCTCTCCCAGACTCTGAACGCCCAAGGGGCTGCCCACTCCTGGATCCCCTCAGTGACCCAGCACGGACCTTCCCCCTGCCCCTCTGCCCAGGCAGATGCAGGTCTCACCTCAGGTGCCAGGGTCCTCAGGGGCTCCCCCGAGACACCTGTTCTCTGGGGCCCCAGCCCTGGATCAGAAGTTCTGAGTGGTTCGGGGAGTGTGTGTTGTAACCAGAACACGGCTGACCTGGGCATATGGATGCTCGCTACACTTTAATAAACTGGCTTCCTGGGAAGGGGCTCGGGCTTCGGGTCTGTCTTCCTCGGGGACGCCAGGAAGCTCGCACGGGGCTGCGTGGGGAAGGCACCCAACAAATAGCAGTAGCCACTAAAAGGTGGTGGTGTCTGCTAGCGGGGAGAACCAGGGGCTTATGTGGGCCCAGCACACATGGGGCAGAGAGAGCAGGGCTGGCCACATGGCGGTGGGGGGGGGGGGGGGGGGGTAATGAAGGATGTAGTTGGGGGAGGCCGACCAATGTGGCTTGTGGCCCGGGCCGGCCCCTGTGGGCATGGAGAGCCATGGAAGGTTGTAGAGCAGGAAACTTAAGACTAGGTCTTGTCTTTACGTGTGGTGAGGAGATACCTGGAGATGGGGAGATGTGGCTCCTTGGCCCTGGTGGCCAAGTTATCAACCCATAGTAAGAACTGTCTCCCTGGTGGAAATGGCCCTGAAGCTGGGAGCAGAGTCAAAACTAGTGGAGGAGGAAGGGGCCTTGAGCTGGAGGACAGGTCGGGGGGCAGGGGCAGAAGGCTGTTTCCGATCTGGAACCCTCAGCCCAAAGCCCCCTTGAGCTCACACCCTGGCACACGTGCTCGGTGACGGCCTCCTGGCTGTCCATTGATCCGTCAGCTCACACGCTTACCCAGAACACTGACTTTGGCCTTGAAGAAGCACATGGTGTAGCCTGGGCTGCGTTCCCCACCCGCGGCCGGATGAGGCCTGGGGAACGCACCGGCCTTGGGGAGAGCTCCCATAAGGAGTGCCTTGTTTAAGGCGACTAAGCGTGCGGTGAGCTGCCATGCAGCCCAGGGCACACCTGGCTTAGGGAGGGCGGTCAAGGGGGTCTCTGAGGAGGGGACATCCAAACTACGTCCTGAAGGAGGAGCAGGGCCCCGCTGTGGGAGGCTGGGGTCCGATCCTTGCTGGTGGAAGGAACGGGAAGCAGGGTGCGCAGGGAGAGCCCTGTGGGTCTGGGACAGCGCGAGCAGGGGAGGCAGCAGGCGAGGCTGGAGCAGGCGGCTAGGCGGGGCCTTGCGTGGCATTCCCAGGGTGCGGGGACTCTGGCGGGTGTTCAGTGTCGCAGTCCCAGCAGGAAAGACGGGATGTGGTTGGGTCCAGCTCCTTGGGCACAAAGGAGAAACCGAGGCACGGAGAGGGTGAGGGCTTTGCACAGAATCCGTGAACATGAAGCCCCGAGGAGGCAGAATGCTGGCCAGGCTGTGTGCCCGCCGCACCAGGAGGGCACGGGTGGCGGGAGCTGTGTGCGGCGGGGCTGCGGCGGAGGCCGTGCTGTGGGCACGGAGGGCGTCGGGTGCCCAACCGCCGCTCCGGGCGCTGGGTTGAAAAGAAAGCAGAGCCACGCGCACAAGAATGAGCTTAGACCCCTTACCTCATACCACATGCAAAACTAAAAGGAAACATAGCGGGAAACCTTCACAGCACTAGGTCGGGCGATCGTTTCTTGGGGAAAACACCAAAACCACAGGCAGGTAAAAAGTAGCTAAATCGGCCTTCGTCAGCGTGAGCAACTGTTGCCCATCAGAGGAAACTACAGGAGACAGTACTCTCTGGACGGAGGAAGGCCTGGGCGTGGGGCTGGGGCTGGGCCTGCCTTCCAGAGCTCAGGGGGCCATTCTACGAGGGCCCGGAGCTGTCTTCCAGCTCTGGGGGCGCATGCGGATGGCCGGGGGGCTCCTGCAGTCTCCCCCTCCCCTCCCGGGCTGGGACCCCCCGGCTCTGCTGTGGTGCCGGCCTCGGGCTTCCCAGCTCCGTCACGGGCACACCCTGAGTCGGGGGAGGGGGAGGGTGGCCTGGCCTGGCCTAGGTAGCGGTGACCTGGCTGGGACACTGGTCCTAGTGCTCTTCTTCAAGGGGCTCCCTTTGCAAACTCCTCAAAGGGTGGGGCATCCCTCAGCCCCCCCCCCCCGCAGGCTCCTCAGCCCCCAGCCTGAGGACGCCTCCTCGAGGTCCCGAGCTGGGGTCCTGCGGCCGCCTGAGGGTGTAACGCGTTCCTCCGCATCCGGTCAGTGGTCCCCAACTTGTGCGTCCCCATCCGCTAGACGGTTTGTACATTAGAATAGAAGAAGGAGCCACGTCTGGGACCTTCTTTGACCTTCTCTGCCGTGACCTGTGGGTGTGACTGCTTCTTCCTGCCCCAAACCAGGAAGGCAGACGGTCATCAGATGCCCATCGCTGCAAACCGCCACGTTGCCACTGTCACCTGGGGGAGAGGTTGAGACCGGGCTGCGGTGCGTCCCTCCCCGCCGCTGGGTGGCGGGGACCGTGAGGGGCACCGTTCCCGCCCTGACCGGCCAGTGGCCAGCGGAGAGCTCAGGGCCCAGCGTGGGAAATACCCACTCGCCTTGGGGGCCGGGGGGGGGGCTGGGGTCCCCTGGGACTGGAAGCAGGGCCTGGTCTAGCAGAGTTTGGTCTCCAGCCTCCCCACACCCCGCGGGGGAGGCCGAGGAGCAGGGCGCCCTGGGCGGGGGTGCCTCTTCTCCCCCAGGTCCATCCGCCTGGCCACGCTGGCCTCCAGCCCCTCCCTGTGCCTCGAGCGTGGGCCCGGGAGACGCCGGCCGCCTGCTTCATTTTAAGATGGGAAGACGCTTGCTGCCCAGGACACCGAGGGGAGAGCTGGGCGCACCATGGGGACGCCGGGCTCCACACGCTCTGCGGGCGCGTGCGCCCATGGCACCATTTCCAGAGCCTTCCCTCAACCTGAGTAACACCCCCCCCCCCGCTCCCCGTCTAAATGAGGGAGGGGCTCTGAGGACCCCAGAGGCGCTGCTGCCTCCAGTCCTCGCCCACCTGGGCCGCTCAGGCTGATACCTCTCTGTCCTGTGCAGCCGGCCCTGCCTCCAACAGGGTCACTGGGACCCTGAGCCCCGGCCCCGGCCCGCCGTACACCTACACCACCTCCTGCCTC